CTGAGGGGTTTAAAAGAGCCCTGGCAGAGGGCTGGGGCAAAGGGAAAAGCTACTGGGCTGATTGGGGAAGTAGCCACAGCTGGGCCACGCCCCAATCAGGCCCCAGCTGGCCTGTATAAGAAGGCTGGGAGCCAAGAGCTCAGGAGTCTCTCTCTGCCTTCAGAGAGAGAAGGGCCTGGCTGCAGGGAGCTAGACCGGGTACCTATAGTGGAGCAGGGCTGGGGAAAGGCTGAAGAGCTGGGGAGCTCCGGCCTGGATAGCCCCAGGCTGCGGCCTGATAATAGGCCAAGGGGTACTGGGGGTTGCAGAGAGCAGCCCAGGGCTAGGCCAAGACAGCAGGTCCAAACCCCCCTTGCCAGTGATGAGTGGCCGATACTGCAGTCTGCCCCAGGGAGCGGGGGCTAGTTGGTGACTGGCAGTGGCCTAGTGCTGACGCAAGGTGGGGATAGTGGGTGGGGGCTTCCCCAGGGAGAGGAGACCTAGTGTGTGGGTACTGCCAGGGGGCAGCACCCAGAGCAAAGGGCACCGGGGTCCTGGGAGGGACATAGGGGCCGAGAAGGAGAGAACGAGTCGGCTCACCGGCCTGCAGAGGGCGCTCCAGAGGCTGGTGAGCTAATTCCCTGGACGACCAGCAGGAGGCGCCGCAGGGGTGAGTCCGGACCCCTTACAGACACTAATTTTTGCAAGCTTTGCTGTGAAAACCAATCACCAAAACCTCCTAATAAAACAGCCTGCAGTGTCACAACCCATAAATGAAACATTTAAAAATAACAAACATTAAAATATCAACTCAATTGCATAAACACAGCAGTCAGTAGAAGAGAAAGAAAAGGCCCTCTGCACTAACAGATATTCCAGTATGTGAAGACTAATAAAATACTCTTATATTCTATGTGTGAAATCCTAGCCCCATGATAATCAATAGAAGTTTGTCAATGACTTCCATGGGCCAGGATTTCATCCTTAATCTCTCAGTTCAGAGGTACCTAAAGAAAGGTAGCACACCGAAGAAAAACCTGGAAAAGTGAAGGAAAGAAGGAACAAAATGCTAACTTGTTGATGTGGTCTTTCGTTGTTGCTGGGCTTTTTGTTGGTTTTGGTGTTTTGAGTGGGGGTGGAGTGGGTAGAGTAGACAGGGGTAGTCTCAGTGGAAAATCTGGGCCTTTTAGCTTTTGAAATATTACATCATTTTAAGCATAATTTGATCTATCTTATTTTCTTAATTTTCATAATTTAATCTGATATTAATTTCACTGATTTTATTTTCTCCTGAGTCAGTCATTCTGGGCAAATTCTAGTGTAATTTTAGAAGGAATTAATTCCAAGGGCTCCAGGATGGAGGCAGCCAGCTCAGTACTCACCACTACAGGGGGTTTAATTTTAAGAGGATTGTTATTTGGGCATGTCTGAGGATTTTGTTTTCAGGGTTTTGAAATCACTACCACTATATAGAATGAATCTGTCCAGTTTGTTTGGATTCATGGACTCTCTCAGGATACAGAAAGGAATCAGATTATGAAATTCCCCCCCATGGAGATAAGATTTAAAAGAATGCTAGTTTTTTCATTATTCTCAAATGCTTTTTGTCTTCCTTTTCCTTTGGGAAGGAAACCAAGGAAGATAGAGATACTAGAATAGTCCTAATATAGGGTTACCATATCTTGAGTGTCCAAAAAGAGGACACTCCACGGGGCCCCGGCCCCGCCCACGCCCCCGCCCCAACTCCACCCCCTCCCCTGCTTCCCGCGAACATTTGATTCGCGGGAAGCCTGAAGCAGGTAAGCTGGGGGGGGGGAGGAGGCGCGGCCCAGTCTGGCCCCCTCCAGCGGCCGGCCCAGGCCTCTCCAGCCTGGCTCGGCTCGGGCCCTGGGGTGCCGGCCCCGGGCCAGCCCCCGGCCAAGCACCGCCGACCCCGGCCCAGCACGCCCCCGGCAGCCCAGCACCGCCAGCCCCCGGCCGCCCAGCACCGCCGGCCCCGGGCCCCGGCCTAGCACCCAGCGGCGCCGGATTTTCCCGGACATGTTCGGCTTTTTGGGATTTCCCCGCGGACGGGGATTTGAGTCCCAAAAAGCCGGACATGTCCGGGAAAATCCGGACGTATGGTAACCCTACCTAATAGAATCCTCAGGCTCTGTCTAGGGTCACATACTGCACCTGTCATTGTGGTGTCCAAGCACTCCCTCAAAATGATTTCTTAAGTGAAACAAGAGGAAAAGATCCTCTAAGAAAGAGGCTTCGACATACTCCTCCTTGCTATATCAGTTCCCCCTATTGCTGATGAAAAGAGCTTTACAATGAAAGAAAACAGTGCCTGTATGTCTCCGGTTTAATAGATGTTTCAACTTTGCTTCTCCCACTTCCTCTGCTTCTCAAGAAAGAGGAAGTGAAATGGAGGAACCAAAAGTCAGGAAACTATGTAAATGGGGAAGGCAGCAGCATTGATGTGCTGGATTAGCTGTCTGAGAATCTGCTGTGGGGGAGGAGATTGTACCTGTGCCACCTGGTAAGATCAACACCAGTATGCATGATGCCAATAGACGGGAGACATCTCCATGCCTTGCTAGGCCTATGTTCTTCTGTCCCCTCAGCCACCATGCTCCAAGAGCATTGCTGCTTTCCTGCGAGACAAGGATGTCTGGCTGCTTCTGTTTAAAAACAAGACCAGTACTGCTGAAGGCTCATGAAGACACTTCCAGTGGCACTTCCACCATTGCTGGTAGTTCAAAGAAAGTCTGTAGTTTTGGTTGCTGTCTGCAGGAAAACCCATGGAGAGAGATTGAAAAAAGCAGATATACAGGAGAGAGTTGCTCTAGGGAACTGTCTCCATTACAAAACTACACTAGTTTTCGCCTCCTTCCTGAGGCTATAAATCCTAAAATGAAGTAAAGGGAAAGCTTCCCTTCTGGGAGACAGTGCCAGAGAGCTGCCTCTGTAGCAAACAGAAGAATAATACTGGGACTACAATGGGAAAAGGATTTAAAGGGATGTATTAAGAAGAGTTGCCTTTGTGGATGTAGCCTAATCTCACTAGACTCTCTGGGCTGCTGGATACAATGCATGAGAAAGCATCTATATCTCAACATCATGAGTCTAATGATTTTCATATTACAAGAACAAAGTGAACATCCTGAAGTAATTAAAGCATACCCAATAAAACAAGTTATACTCTCACAGAATAAAGAAATGAAATGGGACATTTGTTATATTTGCATTTTACAGCACTTGTAGAAATAATTTATAGTGTCTTCCTCCAATTCTTAGCACATGTGCGAGAATATTTCTTCAGAGATTTGACAAATGTAGATTTATGTAAAATGGCAAATGCAATTAGTTCAGACTTTATTGTTGCATAGATAGATCACTATTATTCAGCACTGAATGGAACTTTTTTTTTGTTCTTTCTTGTAGGTACATAATTTGATAAATTATGTAAGAATATCTACAGTGCACAATGAGGTCCTTCACTCAAGCAACTGAAAGCTGCGTGAAATGTAGAGTCAGGCAACAGCTCAGGGACAGATTTATTACCACTCTGATCTTTCTTCTCTCTAGTCTTGACTTTCATCTGCTTCTCAAGGAAATATGCTAAACACTGACTTTCTTTTTCTCTAAAATTCTCTCCTCTTCCCTACATTGGCACTTCCATTCTATTTCCCAAAATCTGTGCTTTTAAATTCTTTCCACACAATACCAAGCTCTCAGGAAGTCCATTTGCTGCTTCCACTTTAACATCTCTCTGTCTCCACTGTTAAAAGCCTGATTCATGCCTTGGCTCTCTTTCACCTCATCACTAAATTCTTCCTCTCTGGCTCCATTCTTGCCACCTCATCTCTGTTCAATCTATCCAAAGTACTGCTGCTAAAATGTTCTTCTCTCCCTGGTGCTCCAGTCATGTAACTGCCCCCACCTCAAAACTCTTAAAAGGAAAGGGCCACAAGTGTTCTGCATCAAGTTCAAATAGCTCATCCTCTTCCTTCAAGGCTACCCACAGATCTGCCAACCTACAGATCAACTCTAGTTTTCACTACTTCCCACTCATGTCATCCACTCTACTCAGTTTTCCCTCTGCTTCTTTCTATCACTTTCCCACCCCTTGATTCTCAGAATAACCTTCTACTTCAAGTGAGCCAACCAATCTCACTCTCCTTCAAACACTCTTCCAACCACATTTCTGTCACTAATCTCAGCTCCAGTGTTATCTGCTCCCTCTATTTTGCCTTCTCCTTCTGTGCTCTGTCTCATTAAAAAATAGGGGACAGAAACAAACTAAATTATTTCAGTACTTTGCAAACAACATTTTCTTAAACAACATAACCACCTACATCTTGAAGAGCAATTTCCTTTTCCCCTTATTTCCCTTGTCTCTTTTCCTTCCATCCCACCCCCATTGTGTGTTATAATCTTTCATTATCTAATTCATATGGTAAGCATGTTGGATCACAGGGTCTCCATACTTGTTTGGAAAGTGCCATACACATCTACACTGCAGTATACAAATTAGCAATGAGATAATACCATAGGGGACTTCTAAGCAGGCACTTAAGGTCTAAAAGTGGCTTTAAAAACTGCAAGTTGCCTGAATGCGGAAGCAAGAGCAATCTCTCTGGTGGAGCAATACTACTCCCTAAAGAGTAGAAACAGGTGCTGGATGAAGTAGGAAAAGAATGCAGATTCAGTAGCCAGTCTAGTCTATGTTACTTAGATTTTTGCACACAGTTGATCTGGGAGCCCCAACCTCCATATGAGAAGCAGCAGTAGATAGTAGCTGTAACAGCAGCTAAAGGACAGCTGCAGTCACACCCCATCCATTAGGGTCTGAGAATCTTGTTTCTAGCCCCTGTACTCACGTTTTCCCAATGAGGCATAAAACATCAAGTTAAATGCTCTTTGATTCAACATTTGCTAGAAATTTAAGAAATAATGAGTGAAGAAGCTCATGTAGTAAAATTAAAGCTTGAGCAATAGAAATTCAGTCTCAATATTCTGTTTAAAGTTCTTACCAGATATCGTAGGTTTAAATTTTCTGTCTTCCCATAGCAAAGGTCTATGAGGGTCATAGGTTGTTTTTCTAGGTTTCTTCCTGATATCATCCACGATAATGTAAGATTATCCATACCAGTGGCCTAAGAAAAGGACAGAAAATGAAAAAAATAACCTATGTAATTGTTTATTTTAACCAATTAAGTTCATGCGTACGTAGCTAAAGCTAATTATGTCTGTAATCCCAAAATTAAGGAATGGAGTGATGGTTTGGATACAATTATAATATACTGTACCACCAGAAAAGCCATACTTCTTGCTTAAATTAATTATTCAACACACAGAACAAAAAAGCAAAAGCAGTTGACGACAACAAAACAAATTCACTTTAACGGTGAACTTGAATGCTCAAGTCTGTGTCATTTATTTTGAGGGAACATTTCAGAAGATGGAAAATCAGTGAAAAGTATTAGTAACCATGGCATCCCCAGTAAATCTGTACTAAAAATATGAAGAACCCACCAAGACTCAGAGTGGGTCTGCGCTTTTTTCACTATCAGGAATATCAGCCAGGACTATGAAAATTTAACAGACCTAAGTGTAGGCTTTTTTTCCACAGGTCATTTCACAAACTTAGCTCCCCTATCTGTGAAACGGAATGGTGGCACTTACTCATCTTTGTAAAGTACTTTGTGACCTATGGACAAAAAGTGCTATACAAGCCTACAATATCATTATTATTATTATTATGAGAGCCATGGCACCCTAACCCAGGGGAATTGAGCCTACGTCCCTCCTTTTCAGAGAGTTGCTTCCCTAATTTAAAGTCTGTTCTAGGGTGGAAAAGAAATAGCTTAATCACAGTTTCATCCCCACAGGGCAGAAGGAGCTGGGAAACATTCCCTCTGCCAGTAGCTTACTCCCTGAGCACAGGCAGAAGGGTATCTTACCATTAGAAGACCCTTTCCTCCAGAGCCTGAAATGGAACCCAAGATTCCTGAATCTCACCATTATTTTTGCTGTCAGCAAATATTAGTGAATCCCATTGCCAAAGTGTGCATCTCATGCCCCTCTATATGTTGCTCCACACAGAGGATGACAGCCTACTACTGCTATCAGGTACACCATTGGCTCAAATGACAGATTTGGGCTGTGGATAGAACTGTTTCCCTACAGGAAGTATGGTTCTTCAAGGTATCAAAGTCAGTGTGGATCCCACTGTAAGCACACATGTGACTTGTGCATGAGACTATTTTTTAAACAAGCAGTGTCCATTAGGGCCAGGCATGTACCCTATGCCTCTTCCTGCTCCCATGCAATAGCATAAAGAGTGGGGTTAGGGTTAGGGTTGACATATACAGACCAGAGAAAGGGCAGAAACCTCTTGCATGTTTTATGTACCGTCAAAAGCTTGAGAAGATTTGATACATAGTGTAGACTTCTGCAGAATCCAGGAATGCTGAGATGTGTGATTATCCAGGTGTGCCCCTCATCCCAGTAGTGAGGCATCCATAATGAGTGCCTTTGTGGGCTAAGAGTGAACAAACTGAACCCCTATGCAGACATTATCCTTGGTTTCTTCACCAGGTGAGTATTGTCAAGATGCTGTGAGCAAGCTATAGTCACTTCTCCTGGGAGTCTCTGCTTAGAGCATACATTGTATTCAGCCATGCCTGGAGTTACTATAGAAGAAGTGTTGTGACGGGTGTCACATAGGTGCATGATGCCACATGGCCTTGCAAGACCAGACAGGATCAGATTGATGTCTGAGTCAAAGTTGGGTAATGAGGTCCCTCATCACAAGGAATCTGTCATGAGGTAAATAGGCCTTGCTTATAATCCAGTTCTATAATTGGTTTTTTGAACGTACAGACAATGTACGAAACAGGGAAGCTAGCTCAGGTCACAGCAGAGATGAGACACTACAGCTTACACATTCTGGTGTCAGCAGGAGCAGATGGACAAGATGAGGAAGATTAACAACAGCCTCAGGAGAAACTTTGCTGTATTCTGGACTGGATGATGGACAACACTATGAGGATGTTGCCATCTTTTTGAAGAAGGGAGTGGAGCTTGAGTGGAAATCCATCAGCAGCAGACTTATGAGAGCCAGATTGAAAAAGAAACACAATATCACCACCCTGATTCAGTGCTATGCTCCGACAAATGACAGTGATGAAGTACTAAAGGACACATTCAACCTTACATTACAGGAGTACCACGCCATGATCTAATTATCATCATGGGAGACCTGAATGCCAAGATTGGTAAGGACAACACAAACAATGACACATCAATGGGAAGAAATGGGTATGGCACCATGAATGAAAATGAAGAGAGTCTTGTTGATTTCTTCAGTGTGAATGATCTAGTCATTGGCGGAACCCTATTTCAAAATAATGAAATTGACAAGCTGATGTCATGTTCTCCAAATGGTACAAGAACTTGATTGACCACATGATGATCAGTGGGAAATGGTGATGCCCACTGACAGATGTGAAAGTGAGAAGGGATGCAGATGTTGGCAGAGACCATCACCTTGTGACAGCCTCCATCAAGCTAAAACTGAGAAGTGTGGGTCCACCAAACAAGGGACATAAACATTGACATTGACAAGCTGAAGTCTCCTGAAATACAGAAAGTCTTCGTTCTGCAGTTAAAGAACAGGTTTCAGGCACTTGCAGACCTTGATGATCTCGCTCGCCTATCACATACCCAACACCATATACAAGAAAAAACAACTCGACTCAACACTTTCAAACAGCAAATTGGACTGAAAATCAACTGCAATAAGACTGATATCATTACTTTTAATATTGCCTCACCATCACCAGTACGGATAGAGGATTATGTTCTCACCAATGTAGAAACATTCACATACTTGGGTAGCACCATCAGCCAGGACAGTAGAATAAGCCAGGACATCTGGAACAAAATCAGTAAAGCCAAGAACACCTTCAGGAGCTTAAATACTTTCTGGAAATCATCAAAATACAACACCAAAACCAAACTCAAGATTTATCAGAACTGTGGACTTTCAACATTACTTTATAGTGCAGAATGCTGGGAAATGAGAAAGTATGATATGTTCAAACGGTCTTCTTTCCATACAACCTGCCTCAGAAAAATCCTCTGTATCTTTTGGCCCAGAACAATCTCAAACCAAGATCTATTCACACAGTGCAGCCAAGAAGATATGAGCACCATCCTTGCCAGGAGGCATTGGAGATGGATTGGCCATGTGCTTCAGATGGAAACTGATTCCATCACCAGAGTAGCAATAAGATGGACACCTGAAGGCAAGCAAAAACGAGGCTGCCTGAAAAAAACATGGCGAGGAGTGGTGGAAGCCAAGCTGAAAAACCTGGGGCACAGCTGGGGAACCATTGAAAGACTTGCCAGAAACAGACAGGAGTGGAGGAGCTTCATCGCTGCCCTAAACACTAGAGGCATAATGGGAACATCATGATGATGATAATCGAGTTCAGACTCACCCAATAAACTGGGTCCTGGTCAAAAAGGGGTCTCATGGAGAGTTTCATTAAGTGTCTGTGGAATCTTAACACCCAAAGCTGCCTAGTATGAGGAGGGGAATGAGTGGCAGATATCACACTTTGAGGGAATGTGTAATTCCCTGAGGTGGTACAGGCAACTCTCATGCAGCTCACGCACAGAGAAGACCTCAGGGAAGGCCAGCCTTCACTAAGCTAAATATCTAAGATAAAAACTATGTACAAGTTATTAATGTTTGAAATTCAAGCAGAACACTAGAAGGTTAGTGATACAGAAAGGTTCCATCCCAAACCACACGTGGCAGAAAGGAACTGGAGAGACAGTCTGCACTGCCCCTTATGCCATTGCTTCAGAGCATGATGAGGTGAAGGAGGCAGGCATGGACCAATGGACACTGCTATTGAACAGATTCCAGTCTTGGGCTCATGGATTCTATTTCTATTTAAATGAAAATAAAAAAAGAATAAAGAGAGAATTCTAGAACAAAATTTGATGCAAACTGTTGGAACTGACGCAGTATTTGTTCTGACAGACTCTTGAGCTGTTCCTGCCTTGTGGATGCAGTCTGGTGGTACATTGCAATGACTCAAAATTTAGGTTTTCATTAAAGCTGCTGCACAGTGCTGCAGTTTTCATAAAATTATGTTTTCTCTTTTGAAAAATGTACATGGACTATAATTATTATGAGTGAAAATAAAAATGTTCACTACCAAAATATTCATAATTGAACCCAAAAAACATGTTATGAAAAAACAATTGACAGAGGAGATTTTTACAGCAAAGGTGACTACCCATGATTTTGCCACAATTACAAGCATTATGTACATTATTATTATGCCAAGTTCTCAAAGCACATTGACTTATTAATGATGATGGGATTACTACAATTCTAACACTCTAATACTTGCACCTGACCCCCCTCATTAACCTACTGCCTGCATTTAAAAAAAAACTGATACATGAGCACCATGTGTATCTCTCCATTTCTGAATATACATCAAATTAATTAAATAGTACACATGGTGCAATTGTGGCTCTTGATGAGAAACCAATTTTTCTCTCATATGCACAGTTGAGCTACAGAATTAACTTTAAGCACACGTGACATGCTATATGTCCAAATACTTAGGGAAAACAAGCCTTGAAGCCATATGTGCAAATTTTCACCCTCTAGAAGTCCTAAAAGGATGTTTTTAGAACAATACAGGTTTAATTTCATTCTTCCGAATTCAATAGCAATGCTATCTCTGAAATGAATTTCATCATTAATTTTCCTGTGAGAACTGAAAAAACATATGAAGGATCTGAAATGGTTCTAAATTTTAGGCTAGCCTCTTTCATTATTGCCCATTTTTAAATTAAGACGAGAAATAAAAATGGTCCAATAAAATAAGACATTTCTTTTATTATCTTGAAAATAAAGATTTATTTTCATATCTATTTCTAATGGGCCCAATTTTCAGAAGTGCTGACCCCACAAAGCTGCCACTGACAAGATAGTTTTCATTTTATATTGCAATATGCAGTTTAGGGAGTGTGTCTTGCAGTTTCTCATTAGGGTAAAGATTCATAAATGGTGAAGTTGCTGTAGTGCTTTGGAAACTGTAGTGGCCAACCGTCACTTTACCAT